AAATATATTTTTCTTTTGTTCCTATGCTTCTATTTTATTTACGTCTCTTCCCCAAAAGACTGTCAGGGGTGGCAGCCAAGAATGGACAGATGCCTGACGTGGCTTCCTGGGTGCACGTGAGGAGTAAAACACCACTATTGGCCAGTGGGATGAGGGTGGGTAGACCTCTCATTGACAATCATCCTTGTCATTGTGCTTTGGACTTTTAAACATATGTTTCTCATCCTAACAGAAGCGATTATGCTTGCTTTCTTGTATTTACATTTATCATACAGTACACTGCGGTTTCATGACGTATCAAGGAAGTATAGAAAATCAAAGCAGGCGTTCTCCCTGGCGACAGCTAAACACCATAAAATGATGAGATTAATTAGACATAAGATAGCCACTTGCTATGAGAAAAAAAAATCTTCATTTCAAAGCCTGGTGACAAGATTAATTAAAAGAGTAAGGGTAAAAGAAATGCACAAAACCTGTATGACCTGGCCAGATGGATGGTCTATCAACAGGGTCGGATTTAAACGTGACGATGCCCTAAGATTTTTAAAACCCCGAGGCCCTGCCGTTTTAAATTACATCAGTTAATGGTTAATGGAAATCTATTTTCGTTTGATTTTTGTTTAAAAAATGTTGAATTAGGAATCGACATCATGGCACTTGGTACACTTCCTTAAGCTCTCCGTCCCCATCTTTAGCAGTATACGAAGAGTTCCAGTTCCGATGGTACCAGTGACTGTGTGATTCTAGATACGTCTCGTCTTTCCCTTGAGTGTTGAGTGAGGGCCAGATCCCCTGGTAACTCCTCGCAGCACCATTCTCCCCAGACCGTGATAATAAATTTATTTTGTGGGGGGTTAATTTAAAGGAATGATAAAATAACTTGTTCGTGAAATCCCAGAATATGTGTGTGTGTGTGTGTTTGTGAAGGAGAATTTCATTTCAAATATACTTGTAGAAAATTGCATTTTGGGAAAAAGAAGTATGAATTTGTTGAGGCCCGTGCAGATTGTGAGACCTTCTGTATATTATTAAGCACATGCCTTAATATAGCACTGGGGGGGGGGGGGGTGGCTGAGAACACTGACATGTTCGAGATGGCGAAACTAGCAGAATAGAGAATAGACACTCGTCTATCTGCCTAAGGATCTTGGGTTTGAGTCAGCTTTGAGTAGAAATTTTACTTTAAATCTGACTTTGGCTCACAGGTTGGGTATCAGGTAATTACCTGGAAGTAAAAATGGACCACATCTCAACCGAAAATGCTGAGCACATGCTCCAACATAGTCAGCTGTATGCTGGTAACAGAGACGCAATCTGGCCTGTTCCAACCACAAAGAAGACATACCTGTATGGTATACCAGAAGATATGGACTGCACGATAGCTTTTATAAAGGCTACCTGCCTCCTGAAATAAGTGTTCTGACAGAAGGGTCCAAGAAGAAGTAGAAGACCATCAATTGAGTCTACAGTTTGTATGCTCAATGCGCTACTGGGTTGAAACGTTCGTCGGTAATTTGTATTATGTTTATTTCCGTCTGTATTGCCCCAGATACAAAAACCTACTATTACCTGTCATCTATTTTCAGTGTATAATCGCCATACTGGTCATGTTGCTAGCCGATGGTCAGCAGCTTCTGAGGTTCTACATCTTTATCGTGTGGCTCTTCCATGGAACATCTATCACAGCACTGCTCATTCTTCGATACAAAAACAAGAAAAAGAAACGACCCTATAAGGTGACACTTAAAGCTGTCTTATTTACCGTGTAACATTTCAGACATCGGTTTCGATGACTGAGTGGTCATTGCTGAGTCATCATAATCGCATATTAAAAAATTCATTGAAATGTGATGTTTTTTTTTTTTCTAAAAATTTAAATTTTCCCCCAACTCTGAGATTTTCATGTATATAAGCCTGTAACGCTGCATTTGTTGGTAGAACTGAAAGACAACTGTAGAAGTGTATTGCTAAACATATTCCATTATGGGTGGTAAAAGCAATGCATAGCGCTAACAACAACAACAACAACAACAACAACAACAACAACAGCAACAACAACAACGTATCAGGTAACTCAGCTATCAGCCAGATTAGTCCAAATTTATGCAGACAAAAGGACTTGCTCGTCACCTTTCGGTTATTTTGGTGAAACAGACTTTTGTGAGTGTAATCGATTTTGTGTTTTAGTTCCAGTGATTCGTTTATTTGTTTCGTTTTGATCAGATGTTACTGTAGTATGCATTTGACGAAATAATACGAAATATGCCAGGCAATAAATTATGCAGTCTGTTAGTGTCTTCTTTGTTCAAATCTTCAATGTGTCAAACAAATCAAGGGCTGTTTTATATGCTCACCAGGTGGATCTGTGGATCCCAGTGCTGGTTGTGGCCGGGATCGCCTGCCTGGTGGTTGCACCATTCCTGCAGAAGCCGGAGAAGGAGTTTGTGGCTGCCGTGACACTTTTGGGCATGTCTGTTGTCAGTTACTATCCGATCACATGGCTCAAGTCTAGGTACATCATTAACGTACCAGGTAAGCCTATTTTTGTATTACAAACAGAACTGCCCTTTAATTCTTAGCAGGTGTTTCATAGTTTTCAAATGAGGGGTCGATTGCAGAAGACATATTCCACACACCCCACCCCTTTTTGTGTGTTTCTCCACACCCTTTTCACTACTCCTCTTTCCAAAACAAGATATAATTGATTCCTAAAATATGAAAGTACACGAGGCGGGAAAGCTGGCGAGAGACCGAGTTTCTTTCAGGCAGACCGTGTCGAGAGGGACGTTCTGCAGAGGACGATCTTCGTCTGATATATGATTATTATGATCTTTCCATAAAAAATCTGAACGATAGTGTAAGGCATGTCCCAGAGTATCTTTTGTTGCAACTCGTCACAGTGTGGCAGAGTCAGCAGAACGAATACAATGTTGTGTTGAGAGTTTATACTCAGTTCATTCTCACACTGAACATTGTCCCATGCAGGTTCCTCGTGTGGCTTCCTGAGCACTATTATAGGGGTGGGGAGGGTTTATAGGTCAGCTGCCCCCAACATGCATCGTAACTGTCGACTAATTAAGCTATTTATTTCGACGTCGGTTTGCGTCTGCCTAAGAGCTGAGCAACCAACAGTCTGCATAAAAGTAAACCAGATCTGTAAAACGATTTTGCACATTCAAAGCAAGTCCTAAAATAAGGCTGGCGTCCAAAAATAGACGAAAAACCCAAAATAGCTAGTAAACACGAGGAAGGAGAATAAGATCATGCGATTTCTTACGAGGCGCCTATTTCAGCAGTATAAAGCTCAAAAACATATTCAGTTTAAATGTGATAATTTAAAAAAAATGCAATGACTAACATTTTTGCCTGCCGTTTCCAAGGTTTGAGTTTAAATCCGCGACTAGGTAGATGTTTTTAATTAGCCTGCCTCTAGCCAGGCTTACATGGGTACCAGGAATTACATTAGTGACAATAAAGGCGGTTAGGTTAGCTGAATGTTGGGTACAAGCAAATACAGCAATGACTGTAAAGGCAGTTAGTTAGGATGATGTTGGGTACCAGGAAATACCTTGGTGACAGTCAAGGCGGTCACCAGGAAATACCTTAGTGAAAGTAAAGGCAGTTAGCCTGATGTTGGGTACCAGGAAATACCTTTAGTCTATGAAATATATGTCTTGAACAATACGTCTGATGAGACACTGGCGTGAAAAAGGTCTGTCTTTTAATTATGCGGGGGAAAAGACCACATATAATTTCTGTAATTCTTTCTGTAATTCAAACAGCGGTGTCTATTTTAACGGAATAGCAGATTAACAGTGAGTTTTTGAAGCATGTTGGTGGAGTCTTTTGCCTCAAGCTCACAAACGTTGGGATTTTATTCCAGATTCCCTCTTTTGATTCGCAATTGCGAGTATTTCGAAGCTCCCTCAGTGTCTTCGCTGGAACTGTATGTTAGTGTCCTGTGCGACACTTCTTCTGGCTGACCAGCCACTCTGCGAAGAGAAGCAAACCCATAGGCCATAGAAATCGGATGTTATGAGGCCGATCTTCTTTACTTTAAAAATCTCTTAGTGTTCTCAAAATCATTCTCATATCATCATTATGTTGTGCCATCTTACGCCACAAAGGACTAGCAGTTTATTCTTTCGTTTTGCTCTGTTTTTTACAACTGTTTCAATATCATGATCATGAAGGGAATACAATCCAGAGCTTCTGTATTGTCTCATCAATGTCCATCTTATGGTTTCTTGTGGTTGTCCCCGTTTCCTCAGTCCATATGTTTTCCCGTTTCAGTACCAGTTTGATGATTCTCTATTCACTTCTCCGCTGAATTTGCCCATTATATCACCACCAATTTGACGATTCTCTATTCACTTCTCCACTTAATTTGACTATTATATCACCACCAATTTGATGATTCTCTGTTCACGTCTCCACTGAATGTGACCATCCAATCCCTGTATGCCAAAATGGAAGTAACATTGACATTAAAAATGCGTAAATTTGTTTACAAACTATATAAACTAGAGTTTATATTTCAGCAGTTTTTAAAAGCTGCTGTTATATTGCCATTGGATATGATATTTTGTCTTGTTTCCTAAAAGGGATTGGGGTGGGGGTCGGGGGAGTCGGGGTGTTTTCATGGCGATTACAATTATTACATAAGGTCATGTTAACGTTTCCCGGCCCATCTACACACTACCCTACTTTTCAATCATACTTTCCCAGACTCTTTTACGTCGGACGGGTGTCACGTTGTCTTCCCTCCAGTTACATCAGCGCCGATGTCGCGAGTATTATACAGCTTTCAACGACCCCAGAACATGTAAAACTAACCCTTAGCCACCCCCCCCCCCCCGCCACCCACAGCCCTAGCCTAGGTCACACGAGAGACTTTTTTCGAAGAAAGCAGTACAACATGACACCCCTCTGACCTAACTCAGACTGAAAAAGTGTGTAGAGGGGCCGGGAAACGTAAACAGGTCCCTACATAAATATCTGAATCTTAAATTATCTCCGTCTCTTCAGCAGTTGGCACTCACTTCTGTGTCGTCATTCTAGCTTGCCCCTCCCGCCCCAGTCTACGACTGACAGGTGATAATTTACCCCCCCCCCCCCTCCCCCCATCTCCACCCACTCATCCCTACCCCCAGCAACTGGACAGGCACCCGACAACTACACCCATGTTAAAATCTCAAATGTGCACATTTACATTTGTACGCTGATGTTCTCAATTAAGTAATCGACGTTGGTGAATTCATTTTTGATTTCAGACAACATAACTATGTGGTTACAGTTGTTTCTCAGGGTGGCTCCGAAACGGTAAGAACATTTTAACAACCAAATGTTGACATTGATGATAATGTCAACAGAAACTAATAATTATTTCAGAGGATAATTTGCCGATCATTTTAGAGAATTTAGTTGACCACTTTAGAGAAGTTAGTTGACCACTTCAGAGGAGAAGTTAGTTAAAAATTTCAGAATGTAATTGATCACTTCAGAGACTAAAATCACGTAAAGTTAAAAGTGACTTCAGAGGTTAGTGAATCTTTCAGAATGTAATTAATCGCTTAAGTGATTAGTTAATCACGTCAGAAGATAGTGAATCATTTAATGTGATAAATGCAATATTTAGCCAGTGTAAATTTGAACAAAGGGGGATATAAACAATAGACTTTAAAAAGATGTAACAAATAAATTAAATTTTCAAATTGAAATATAAATATCCATGTCACTTAAATTGAACTGCCGGTTTTTCTAGGACAAATCCAAACTGCTATACGTTTTTGTCTATACGTTCTCATTCATTCCGTGTAGACAAAAGGACACGGTAGCAAACTGTGAAACAATTCAAAAACCAGTTAAGGTCGCAATGTAAAACCTGACCCCAGCTTCTGAATCGACAGAACTCAGTTTAAACTAATAACTTTGTGAAGTCTTCAGGAAAGTAAAGACGACTGGTGGGATTTTTACCATATTGGTCTCCGAGATATTATTGACTTTTAAACATATAGGATTAGCTTGATGTGCCCAGTGTGCACCAAGGTGTTCATATGAGCGCGCTCTCTCTCTCTTACTCTCTCTCTCTCTCTCTCTCTATATATATATATATATATATATATATATATATATATATATATATATATATATATATATATATATATATAGAATCGTATTATAAAATGATATAATATTACATATGTAAATATAATGTAATACACTATTACATTATACTGACAGTTTTATATACTGTAAGGAGCATCCTCACAGCCCCCCCCCCAATCCATAATGTCCCTTGAGGGAAGGGGTGGGTGGGGGGGCTCTCAGCCATCGCCTTATAAATGTTATAGACAACAACAAAAAATGTGTAGGCGGGGGCCTCAATGCAGCATAATCATTCTAGTTTTTCTTCACTATCACGGGCTGCAAACTGCGACGGAAAATCCCAGCTGACATTCAGAAATTGGTCTAGTTCCAATCTTGAGTGCTTCATGTGCAAATCCTGTTTACAGATTTGGCTTCTTTGTGTACAGACTGTTGGTTGTTGCCTCCCAGATAGGTACGCGCCGACTTGGAAGAAACGTCGATTCTGTTGGATGACGCCAACAGTTGTGGATAGGTCTTGATCAGTATGAGCCTGGTGAAGGTAGACACAGACAAGTGGTTCAGCAACTGTACATGCGAACCATAATCCTAATTTAGGATAACAATAATAATAATAACAATATGCCGAGTGGCTATCAAACATAATATATCTGAAACAAAATAGAAAGCATAAATAAATGCTTTTCAAGAGAAACTTCCTGAAAGGTTAAAAGAAGGTGGGGGGGGGGGGGATAAGGGGAGGGGGTAACTGAACTCCCCTCCCCCTAACCCAAAAATGTGTTGGTACCACATGAGTCTGAGACCCCACGATCAGGACCCTCTGACATCTTGTGCCGTAAGTGTAATTTTATGAAGATTTTTCAAATGGTGTTTAAAAATGTACCATGACTAACGTGATCCTTGTTAGTCATACTCGCCATCCCCACGGGCTGGGATTTCCACGCCTCTTTGCGCCACAATAAAAACTGTCGCTTGGAAAGACAAAAGGTACCAACAATCAGATCTCAACATCTTTCATATTCTCGGTAGAAAGGAAAAGTTATTCTATTTTTTATTTCTCTTTACAGCGATTTGAGACGGGAGCGCAAGTCGATGATGCGACAGATGGGAGTTCTGGCCCGCAACAGTATCATCATCACTCCCAGCGTCATGACATCACCCGCAATGATGCGGCGATTCTCCAAGCGCATGTCTCTGCGCCTCGTGCAGGGCTCTCCCGCGTTGGTCCACAGGTTTGGGGAAGATCTAGGTCAGACCAGCTTGAGAAGACGCACCAACCGAGGAGGTTCATTGGCTGAAATAGACATCAGACAGAAGATGAGATCCAACTCACTGTGGTCGTTTGGTGTAGAGAGCAAAGTAAGAATCTTGTTGATCATATCTTTACTATTGCCTTTTGCCTTTTCTTTTGCACCCATGCGCCTGCATGCGTATGAGCAAGTTTCCTTCATAATTCAGATCGTGTAGACCGTCTTTGGGTCTCTTCTTGATCCGGAGTATTTTAAGAATTCTGAGATATTTTCCAGAACTTTAACTTAAAAGGTCCAATATGTCTTCTTTAACGATGGCAGGAACTGACATCCGCATGTTGCTCGACAAAGATAATCACTTGTTTATGTGAGTGAGTGTATTTGTGTGTGTGTCTGTGTGTTCTGAGACTGCAATTAACTTTAATACTGTTTAACTCAGACACGCTATAAACCAGTCTTAATTCTCATTTTTTAAAAACGTTTTGGTTGTCTCTGTAACCAATCCAATGCATCGAGGCTTCTGATATTTTCGTTTTGTTCATTGCAAATCGCAGTTAATGGTTGCCGTAAACAATATGCATAAATATAGACTTATAACTACAGTTTATTCCAAGTGACACCTTCCATGTATGCGTGCTGGGACGTCCTGTTCAACACTTGCTAATTTCAGGAAATTGTCAAACTCAGGCGGACAGTTCTGGTTGTTCGTCCACTTCTGGACTCCAGTCTTGTTTCAGAAGTTAAATGTTGCGTGCACATCCTTTTGACAGATTCGGCTTATTTGTATGCAGACTGCAGGTTGCTTACCTCCTAGGCAGATGTAATCCGACTTTAAAGAAAGCCCTTAATTAGTCGACTCTTACGACATGCTTATTGAGGACGGTAGTGGATCTATTCTTGTTTTCCGCACGTTGGGTCCCCAGAACCTACACATGGAACAACAGCAAATATATCTTTTTCTTCCTCTTGTGATCACTTCCTTGATTTACCAGGACGGACTAGTTCTTGTGATATAACTGACCTGTTTTTCCTGTCTGAGTTCCTCTTTAGAACTTTGAGTATGGTGGTAACTCACTGGGCCAAATTCCCTTCCTAATGGGCACAACATCACCACCTTCGTCCTATTCAATCCTGCTGTGCGGATTAGAATCTGAAAGAGCTGGCAGTAGATTTTTCCATTGCATTCTATCCTGTACAATATTTACGATATCATGAGGCATCCAGTCAGGCAACTTTATCCTGAAGACATGACACATCTAGTCACATGTGAGTGCTGATTTGTCTTCACAAATACTTGTCTAGCACCATATGTTCAATAGGCAAAATAGTCATTTTGTAAGCTCTGATCTTCTTTCATCCATCCAATAGTCGTAAGGTATCTCTTGTACCTCTCTCTCTCTCTCTCTCTCTCCCTCTCTCTCTCTCTCTCTCTCTCTCTCTCTCTCTCTCTCTCTCTATGTTTGTCTGTCTGTCTGTGTAAATTTTCTGTAGGGAAACAGATGCCTGTACTCATCAATAAGTGTCTGTTATTGTTGCCCTAAAAAAATGAGGACTGAAAAGTGCCGATGTTTTGCATCGTTGAACAAGTTAGTTAGTTGCGTATCCTTTTTAAGACGTTGTAGAACCAGCCCCAGCATTAAATACCATCCGAAAAAGCCACACACACACACATATATATATCCACCGGCTCCCCCCCCCCCCACACACACATATATATATATATATATATATATATATATATATATAATAATAATAATAATAATCTTATTTGTATGTGCATGTGTACGTATCTTATATAATAACTATGTCAAATCGCCTTTGTTTCCTAGGCGTCCCCGGCAATCATCAGAAAAAAGACAATGTCACCAAACAACCGAACCGTCAACTCCCCTGATGTGAAACTGAAATCCATAGCTTCCATGCCGATACTGAAAAACCGCTGCACTACAGCACCGCCGGACGTTGATGGTGCTACAGCTCTGAGCTCCAATGGACTGTCCAGAAGTTTGCTGTCCCTCCCACACCAGGTGGTGCGTCCTACCCCTAGTCCCATACCTGAGGAAGATTCAGCAGCCGCTAAAAATTCAGACTCCGGAGCTGATGAAACAAAGTCCCAAATTTCCCAGCAGGATGAAGAGTTGCAAGTTATAGCCGATTTTGAAAGTGATGGAGGTGGGGAATATGAGGTTCTAGCGCATCCTGAAGACGTCAGAAGAGCTTCGTACGATGTAGTAGAAGTTCCCGATACAAACTCAGATTCTTCATCCTCAAACTCCTCAGATTCAAATTCTTCAACTAGTAGCAAATCGAAACGTTTGCGACGCAACATGTTTTCCTCTCTGTTTGATTCTTCAGCCTGCTCTTCTTCGGATTCAGACTCATCAACGGATGAAGACTGTTCAGGAGATGATGAAGAAGAAGATGATGTGGCGTCCAGGCCAAGGTTTTACTACAGCGAGGACGAGATAAACTCAGATGTTAGCGGTGATGGTAGCAAGAAGGCAAGTGGACAGGTAAACAATGGCTATATTGCCGAAGGCAGTGAGGAAGATGGTACGCCAGTGTCGCTGGAAGGACAAATTCCTACGCGAATACACATTTCTGGAATGAAATCTGACAACATACCGCAAAGCGAGGTATGATCTTCATTCTGAATAGTGATTGCAGCTGTATGTTTTCAGGAAGATAATGAAGAGGCAGATAGACTGGCTAGTCCATCACCTGTCGGTGGTGAATTTATGCACGAAAATCTATTTATGGTCAATGTTATTTAGGAACAAAGGAACAATGCAGAGGTACGAATCGATCATTATTGTCTTCAGAGAATGGTACAGCTGACTGACAGTGACCAATGAATCTGGACGACACTCTACACCCACGGAGAAGCAATACGGGCAAATCATCAAACTACTACTGGTCCCATGAGAATTAAAACTCTTCGCTGGCTGCTGAAAATGAGGACGAAGGGCTTAAAGGAATGTCCCAAGTGCTTTGATAGTTCTTAGCTCAGTACTCAACACTGATCAGACGAAATCAACCAATAGGGAAAACTAATTTTAATTGTTTAAACCGTCTCACAATGGGTTACAAAAGGCAAGTTATAATCCACTAATTATTATTGACGGTAGATTTTCGTAGTGGTCTCCCTATGAAACTAACAATGCTGTTTGTCTAGTCCTCAAAATGTGGTGGATTTAAAGGCCTGTTGAGATGGTTGCTGTAGCTACGGAGTTCGTCATTTCTCAGGGTGACCAGCCGCTCTGAGAATAGAGACAGAACCATATAGGCTAAAAGCTGGTGCAATGAAGTGGTGTTTCAACACTTCCACATATACCATTTGTGGGACGAACCAAATTGTGTTATTACAGATTTGACAATATGCCACCACCATCACCATCACCCTCAACATCATACTCATTATCATCCTATTTTGCCGTTTTACGACACATCAAAGTTCGTTGTCGATTCTTCCATTCCTTTCTTTTTTGTTCATTTTTTTTCCAACATTGTATTTGGAGTCTGTTGAGACATCTATCATGAATGAATAAATGATATCACCACACTCACAGGGACATTTCCTCACGTGCTCTGTTCCCCTTCTTTAGCAGCCAACGAAGAGCGCCCATACTAATGGTGCCAGTTGCAACCCCAGGTTCGCCTGTTCCCCCCCCCGCCCCCCTCCCCTTTCCTCCTTTTTTTTTTGCATGTAGAAAATCGTCAGGACCCACTGCTCACTGCCAGCTGAATCATTCTCTCGAGATATAAATGCTGGATTTGTTCTGTTGCAGTGTTTACTTGATCCCAGAAATCATTCACCGGGACGGCTTTATCATAAGTAGCTCACCGCCTAGAGGGGTAGTAGCAGCTAATCTGTCATCTTGCTCATAACCGACACCTTAATATCGCCTCTCTGAATAACGTTCGTAGTTTTTCATGATCGTTTTGACTCCCGGTATCCATTTGTCTTCCATTTCAGTGTTTGTTTTATGATAATGTGTTTTAAACGATAAACTATAAGTGTGCTGTGTTTAATTAGCTTATCTTCTCTTTACTTTTCTTCTTTAAACAGTAATACAGGCACAGGCACACACACAAAACATATACACGCTCTAACGCACCCATACTACACACAGACATACCATTTTCTAGCCGAACATGTCACGCAAATGCTTCTGTTTAAAATTCAAACAATCTGTCTACTTTGTATTCTTTGTTGTTACCGTTGCTGTTAATCTTACCGCTAATCTGAGTTTTTCCTATACAATTTGTATTTAAATTGGAAGAAATAATCAATATTTTAAATTATGTTTTTTAAAAGTTGTTCCAAAGGTAAGTAGATATGTTTACCTTAAAGTAACCAGTGTTTGACAGAGGTTTTTGGAGTATCCTGGTAATAATTGTTAGTGGTAGTCGCTATTCATTTAATACTTGCCCCAACCCTTACCCCTTATACTAATGGATTTCACTAAATCTCATGTGATATGGTGACTTAACAGTAAAGAACCTATATATAAAGATATATAAGATGACATTCTAATATATATATATGTGTGTGTGTGTGTGTGTGTACACATACATTGTTCAGACGAATACTTTAACTTCTTGTGCAAAAAAAGTGTTTGCTATCGCCTTCTTGTAACCAGACTCCCCATACTGTGTGGCCGGATTCGTAGCAGACTGGAGGAGGATTCTAGCATTACCCTGAAAATGCAAACTGAAAACCTAATGTTACGACAGTTCCTACAGGAGAATATAGCACAGGTCTTATGATTCGACAATTTGTGAAGCATTCCTTGTTTCAAATGCATTGTTGTTACCTTTTGTTGGGGATACACAAGGCAGGCAAAGAGAGGTACCATGCTGCACTGGCAAACATGGTCTCTACACTACTGCCATACTTCACAAGCTTTGCTGCTGTGGGTCTTGCTAGAGACACTCGCCATCGCTATTGTTCATGATTCCTAATGTCTTCATATAGCAAAATATAACACCAACATCTGGAAAGACGGAAAGATGCCAACAATATCTGACTCTCAAAAGTAATAGGTTTTGTTAAGTACTCATCAGACTGAATATCTTGAGGAATCACTGGGATTTACTGTAAAACTTTAAAACATGCAGATGAATAATGTTGGTTGTCCAAATGAGAGCAATGTTGACACAATTTCCGCCCAAACAGATCATTTTCAAGACGGGCGCGTGGCCCCAGAGCTTTTCCAAGTCACAGATGGCTAATTTTTAAAATAATGTTAATGTCAATGAGTATGGCACCACTTGATCACATCATTTATTATACATTACTGTTCTGAATCAATTACTGACCGTCAAGCAATTGTTGTTTACATGTAATGTTGCGAAGAGTTATGTATTTTAATATTTGTTAAGTGTTATCAACTGTATTGTTGTAAAGTGTTTGTTTTTTCTGCAGTGTAGCCAAGTGTTGTGTCCTACTTTGTGCATCTGTGAAGTGGGTATATTAATGTTGTGTTCCTTTCCTGTGGATAATTCCTTATTTAACTATATCCTGTTTCAGTTCATGAACTAGAAACTTGTTATTTTAAAACTCTTTTTGTACTAAGCAACCGGTAAGCGTAGTTAAACTGAGTTGAGTTGAGTCAAGAATTGATATCACAGCACTCGGGGCATTCCCATTCATGCTCCGTCCTCATCTTCGGCAGCCAGCTCAGAGTTCCTATACTAATGTCCGTCTTGTCTTTGCTCTGAGTGTAGTGTGCCGGCGAGACCCTCTGGTTACATTCGGGTGCCTCATTCTCTCAAAACCATAATAATCTTCTATCTCTACCGATTCCGTTGCTTGTTCCCAAAGGGCCTTGACCACATCTGCCTTGTCATGTATCAATTCACCACCCAGTGGTGCAGATCTAGCCAATCTGTCTGTCTGTTCATTACCCACCACGCTAGCATGGCCTGGAGAAAAGATCCAAAGTATGCTCACTGCCCGTGACCTTTCCAGTGAAGCTTGCCACTCTGCTCAAAGTATCCCTGTCTTCATCTTTCTTATGATGCTTTCAGAGTCTGTTACAATTACGACATGTGTATGCATCTTCTTCTCTAGCCACCGGAGAGCTGCAGTTACCGCCTCCACCTCCATTTTCATGCTAGATGTTGTGTTGTCGTATGCCAGGCTGTCTTGCACTAAATATTTTTCATTGGCTTTCCCTACAAACTCCCAGGCATTTTCTTTCCTCTCAACACCTAACCATCTGTATAGATAATCAGATCACCTGGGCGTGAATTGTCGTGAATAAACTGTTGGACTTCAACCTCCGGAGCAACCACTGGCCACTATCTGCACACTCTCTTGTACATCCCCGGATTTGCCGCATAGCTTCATTCTGTATGCGGTGCAGTTTTTCTAGCTGACTCTTGGAGACAGCGAATAACCATCATCTATAAACAATCACTGAGATGATTAAGTGCTGGTAAAGTGTGAACAGCATTCTCTGCTCCATATCCATCTCTGCCATAATCTTTAGTGCATTTACACAATTTTGAGCCCTTGTCATTTTTCTATATGAACAGGATGTGTGATTTACCTCTAGCTCTTTTCTAGGGACAGGGTGTGTGATTTCACTGCAACTGTTTATCTAGGAACAGGGTGTGTGATTATACTGTAACTTTTGTCTAGGAACAGGGTGTGTGATTATACTGTAACTTTTGTCTAGGGACAAGGTGTGTGATTATACTGTAACTTTTGTCTAGGGACAAGGTGTGTGATTTCACTGCAACTTTTTATCTTGGGACAGGGTGTTTGATTATACTGTAACTTTTATCTAGGGACAGGGTCTGTGATTTCACTGCAACTGTTTATCTATGAACAGGGTGTGTGATTTCACTGCAACTTTTTATCTTGGAACAGAGTGTTTGATTATACTGTAACTTTTATCTAGGGACAGGGTCTGTGATTTCACTGCAACTTTTTATCTTGGGACAGGGTGTATAATTCTACTGTAACTTTTATCTAGGAACAGGGTGTGTGATTATACTGTAACTTTTATCTAGGAACAGGGTGTGTGATTATACTGTAACTTTTATCTAGGAACACGGTGTGTGATTATACTGTAACTTTTATCTAGGGACAAGGTGTGTGATTTCACTGCAACTTTTTATCTTGGGACAGGGTGTATAATTCTACTGTAACTTTTATCTAGGAACAGGGTGTGTGATTTCACTGTAATTGTTACTTTGGGATAGGTTGTGTGATTTCACTGTAATTCTTTCCTTGACATAGAGTGTGTGATTACTCTGTGCCATTAATAATTTGCTTATGGTGCACATACAAATGTCTGGTCTTGACTAGGTTTTTTCAGATTATACACACTAATATCTGCCCATGACGATCCTGTCTGTATCTGCCCAGGATTTCCCGACCAGTGACTGTTAAGGGTTTAGACCTGTTTGATTTGAATGTATTATGGATCTGTCTTTATAAACAGGGATACACTGTTTAGAGTAATTAGTTTCATAGCTGCATATTTTTTACCGATCTTTCCATACTTTCTAAAGTTTGCCAAGTGAGTAACTATAATCGTTGTAATTAACAACTGCGTATGAAATTTTTACACAGCAGAACATGTAGGGGGAAGGCAAGTGGAAGACCAAAAAGTGGATATATGGTGTC